ACTAAATAACTATACTAATAAATACAAATAAGAATAAAATAAAATAATAAGAAATTATGAAAGTGGAGGAAACCCATGGTAACAACGGACTAACTCATAAGAGATGGGTCCGCAACCTACTGCCTGTAATTAAATTGTGTATTTGATTTGAGTTTTGTAATATTTCTTATTTTTATATTATTAATAAACTATATATTTATCTTATCTTTTTTGTTATTATTAATATCTTATTATTTTTTGTATTGAGCAAAGTCATAAACTAGCTTAGTACAATAAACCTTTACATTACTAACAAAGAATTCACTTATTAAAGTTATTATATAAATTATGAAAATTATGAAATTATAAATACTTAAATTTAAATAGAAATTTTTAAAGTCTTAGTAAATAAACAAAACCTTCTAATTATATCAACAGATTATATATATAATAAGATTAATTATTTAATTATATAATTGTATATATTATTATTTTTGAATTAATTATAAACTATTATCATAAAATCTGAAATTGAAATAATATTTAATTATAATAAATTAGAATAATATTTAACCTTAATGAATTGAATAATACTTAACTTTGATAAGTTGAAATAATATTTAACTATTATGAAACTAGAAAATAATTAATGAACAAATGTAATATTAAATATAATAATAAACTTGAAAGATATTGGAATAAATTGGATGAAAGGTTTGATTTCCTTTCTAAAATAATTGAATTAGTAGTACCTTCTAATAAACAATAGTCTTATCTTTGGAAAAGGACTATAAACTCCTTAAAAAAATTATTAAGTCACTTTATTGACTTATTCACAAGAGAGCTAAAACTTACAGATGATATCATATTGAAAAAGAATTTTGATTTTAACTAATTTATAATATAGGATGTAATAGGATAGTTAATTTTATTAATTTTTAGCTGATCTATAATATAGAAATTATCATTTAATATAATAATTCTTTTGTATTTGATTAGTATATACTTATAAGTAGAGATTTATATGATATAATTATATAAAGTATATATGTTTTCAAAATTGATTTTGGATTTTTGAGTTATTTTGACTTTTTGAGATTTATGCAGAATCTATTCTATATATGAAAGTAAAAAAAAATATTCAGTTATGTGTATATTCGTTCAAAGAATAAATCTGGATAATCAAAAAATTTCAGGTTTGTAGTAAAATAAATTCATTTTCTATGAAAAACTATTTTGACTTTTTTTTTGAAATTACAATTTTGGATTTCAAAATAATTTTGTATATAAGTATAGTACAGAAGGTAACTATAAAGAAGATCCACTGTAATTATTTATAATTAAATAATCAAATAATTATTTATAATTAAATAATTAAATAATCATTTATATAAATAATTAAATAATTATTTATATAAATAATTAAATAATTATTTATAATTAATTAATAAATAATAATAATAATAAAATAAATAATAATAATTTTATAAATAATTAATTATTTAATTATCAATAATTATTTGATTATTTGATTATTTAATTATTTAATTACAAATGATTATTTGATTATTGATTATTCAAATATAAATAATTATTCATTAGAAAATTTTTGAAGATGAATATATCCAGATATATTTGTTTAATCATATATTTATCTGCATAAATCATATTAATTCACATTAATTTACATTTATCCACACTAATTCATATATTACATCAAATATATTCATATATATTTAGTTTCTATTAATTACATATATTTGCAAGTGAAATTTTTCTGATGTTTGATTATTCTATTATAAATAATTATTTAATTATTCTATTATAAATAATTATTTAATTATTCGATTACAAATAATTATTTAATTATTTGATTTTTTTTTTTTTTTAAAAAAGTTTCAACGAGGCTTTGTCTCAAATTTATTAACTAAAAAAAGAGAAAGTCTCCTATATTAATATTACATAATATAAGATACACAACTTATTCTAGTAACTATCAAAAAGATGAGACTCAGACTAATTCGAATTGTCTATCCTAAGATTAACACGAAACATGCCTGCAACCTACTGCCATTATTTAATTATTTAATTACAAATGATTATTCAACTATTTGATTATATTATCCAATTATCTGATTATCTAATTATCTGATTATTTAATTATTCAATTAAATTGGATTAAATCGATTATAAAAATAAAAATAATTTGACTAATTGATTACAAAAAAAAAATAATATGGACTACTACTTTAAATAAAGCTAACATTATTTATTCTTTTATGTTTAACCTGTGTATTCAATATCATTGGTATGATTTAAAATTTTTGAAATTAAAATATTAAAAATATTGCAATTATTTTAAATTAAAAATTTATTTCTCATTATAAAAATTAAAACTGATTTTTTCAAAATTAATAATTAATTAAAAATCCTTTTTGTTATGAACAATCCCATATTAAAAATAATAAATGTTCAAATTTGACTACTAAGTATTTACTTAATTCTTAAGAAATAGATTTGATTATAACTTAATTGATATTATCTTTTAAAATAGCACTTTTTTATATTATTCTAATGAAATTTTATTAATTTTTCACTTATCTTTTTTTCAAAAGGAAAGAATGATTTCTGACTTGAATTATTTGAAACTTATTAAGTAAAAAATAAAAGAGCATGGGAAAAAAGAGTTACAAAAACATTAACAAAAAATAAATATAGAGATATAATAAAAAATAATTTTCAACTTCAATTTTACATCTGTTAGAAAATCACAAAGCTAGAAATAACAATATGGCTAAAATTCTTTTTTTTAAAAATTCTGATATAAAGAAATTTACTTTATTTCTTCTATCTATTAATTATTAGTTTTATTATTCTTATATTATCATTTTATACTATTATATTGTTAATAGAACTAGTATGTGACCTGTTACTTTGTTAACAGATTTAGATTATTGTCTGGAGCAATAATTGTGTAATTATTGTTGTGTTCTTTATTTACAATAATCATTATCTAAAAAATCAAACAGAAATCCTTTTCCCAAATTATGTTTTGATATTTTCATATTTACTAGGAAATGGTAGAAGCAATATTTGTTATTGTGTATAATTACGTTTTATATAACGTAATTTTTATTGTCATGTGTCTTTATCTACAACAATCGTTATCTAAAAATCGGACAGACATCCTTTTCTAAAATTAATTTAAATATCAAAAACGTAATTTTTGTTTTACCCTACGCGTCCATTAAATGTCTGGAGCGTAGCGTAAGACAATCAAAAATGCAAATTTTGTTTAAGCGTCCATCAAAGTCTTTCGCTACGCTCAGGACAATTATCCGAGGCGTAATTTAATGGACGAGTTAAAGTGATACTAAAGTTACGTCTTTGATGCACCAATATGAAAATATCGTAATTACATTATCCGGTTAAACTATCTTTCACCACCTTCTTGACTCTGGAGCTAAACTTGTTTTAAACTGTTCTTCCAAACAGATATCAACAATGAAAACAACAATAGCAACGAAGAATGTGTAATCTCTATTGACTAAATTTGTTATTCAGTTAAGGGGAAATTTTTTTAAATAACAAAAATTATATAAAATATTTACATATATTCGAAATTTTCTTTTTTTTAAACATGACATGTTGCATAAAATTATTCTCGAGTTTGTTTGGAAGAATGGAATTATCTACAAAAAAAAGAACGAAGTAAATAACTAAAATAAGTAAAGTGTAAAAATAGGTGTGTGGGAATGTGTACACAATTAAAAAAAAGATGCGATAATAAGAATGCTATACATAACTATAACTATACAAATATACATAACTACACAAAAAATAAAATTTCATAATTTCATATTTAAAATCTATAATATATTCATTCGACTAATTACTGTATTGTAGACGAATTTATTTGTTATTTTTTCGTTATTTTTATTTTAAAAACAATCAAAATCGATGGGACCAATATCTTCTATTGTTAATATAATTTCAGCATGTTCTACTCCTGTGATGACAGTACGCACGAAGTCATCTGGAATATATTCAAGTCCATCGGGTGCTCTTATAACAAATTGTTTTCCGGGAGGAAGTGATTTCTTAATAGCGAAAGAAATTAAAGATGAAAAGGTTGTATTATCGGTAACGGCGATTTTCTTTTTATATATTCGTGAAGGAGAACGAATAGTAACTGATTTTAGTACGGG